CCCTGGGTGTTCCCCTTCTTCTTTTTTTGCCATGAGACTTTCCCAAGGAGGAGGAAGGCAAAGTGTGATCCACAAAAATCTCATCCCTGTCTTGGGAAGAGGAGCCCTTTCAGCTGTCCCAGTGAACTTAAATGTTTATTTAGGGCATAATTAACCCCCCACTCCTGCTCTTGGCYGCTGGAATTCAGTGGTTGGGGGTTTTTGCTTCCTATTAGCAGGGAAATCCCGGGATTTCTGTGCTCACGCATGGTTTCCTTATCGTCTGTCTGCGTGGAGCCGGGCTGTCTGGGGGCTCTCTGCATTGGGGTCAGCCCGTGCATTTCCAAAATTCCCAAATTGGGCTGAATTTTCATCTTCCACACCCCCCTGGGCTCGCTGCCCTCGATTCCTGTGCAAAACCCTGGGGAATAGGTCTTGAAATGATTTATTTCATCCATGTCCTTTTTCCGGCTGTYCATAGTCACAGGTTTGAATATTCCGTGTAATTTAAAGGCAGGAAAAGCGGTGTCTCTGCAGCACATTCATGGAGTAAAATGGGAATGAATTAAGTCTAACTTGGAATATTTCACCTGCTCAGCTTGACAATTAATCTGCAGAAATTATATTTTCTTATGTCACGGTTTGGCTGAATTTGAAGTTCCTTTTATTTCCCTTTGTGTCAAATATGAATTGCCTTAGATCTCCCAGTGAAATATATTTATTCCATCTCTGTTTTCCTGAAGCCGAACTATCCTGAGAATGAACAGAAGTGACATTTTACCCCAGACCATCAAAAGATGAGGGACTTCAGGAAAGTTTTACTGAAAATACAAATGGTTCAGGATGAAAAAAGATTATTTCAGGATGAAAAAATTATTTCGCGCTGCCTGTGAAATAATCTTGGAATTGTGTCCTGTCAGAGCTTAAACTGCAGCCGAGGGAAGGCGGCGTCACAGGGAACATATTGTCCCCCCCTCAKTTCCCCAGGACCGGGGCTTTTAGCTCAATGAACTCCAGGCTTTGTAATTAGCAGCAAGGCGATTAGATGGGCCACGTTCCTGGGAGCAATTAGTGCACTAATTGTGTTTGATTGTTTAATTACTCTTGCTGGCTGTAATTGAGGAGAGGCAGCGAACCCCTCTCCGAGAGGTTCCCTTGATAGAAGTGCATCCAATTTTATGGGGAGGGCGACACAGAGATTTCGTGTCTGATTTCTTCTATTTTTTCCCCTTTTCCTCCCTTTAACCATTCCTGCAGCTGCCAGGAAAATCCTCTAAAGGGCATGTGGAAAAAAGCTGGATTTGGAGGAAATCCATAAGAATTCCCGGTTTTGTTCACAAACTTCTTGATGTGCGTGGTGGCAACCAAAAGAAAAGGAATGAATAGGATGGGCACAAAAAGAAAAAGGTTGAGGAGGATGAAGGAGAAAGGGAAAAATGGCAATTAAAGCTGGAGAAATTGCAAATATTCCCAGGGATTTTTGTCTGGGATCCGGGAATGCTCCGTTGCTGTTCCCATTTGTTGTTGGACRGTGATGACACAGGCAGAGAGCTGGGCTGAGGTTTGGAAGATGGAGAGAAAGAGGGAAATTAATCCAAAYCCAAACATCATAGATTCAGCCAAGGAAACTCCAACCTCGCGCTTGGTGTGACTTGGAGGAAAAATATGCGGAGTTACGTGGGAAAATCACGGTGGGAAGGTGCTCAAGGAGGAATTCCTGGAGGGACAGCTCTTCCACCCTCCTCAGGCTGCTCAGAGCTTCCATGGCTGCATTTCCCACTGGGAAWMWCYWTCCAAGGYGGTGGAAGGCTGGCCCAGCCCAGYGGATTTTTGGCAGTGAGCGGCGCACGCGGCGATTTCTCGCCAATGTCGCCTCCTGCTCACGCTGCGATCGCGGCTTTAGGGCTCTCAAAGCCCCCTGCCCGCTGARAGGGAGCTTTCCCTGGCTTCTGCTGAGTATTTCCCTCAAGGGAGGGTTGGTTTAGGGAGCTCTGAGATGGAGGTTTGTCCAATGGGAAGGATGGAATCGGTGGGAACCGCGGAGGAACTCGGAGGTGTGGCCSAGGCAGGGAGGAGGAGATGGAGGAGGAGGGTTGGGGTGAGGGATCAGCAAAACCATCAACCTCCCACCAAGCAGGAAAGTTCCCACTGCCCTGGAAATCCGGGGAAATGCTCCATGGGGAGCGAGGTGGAGGGCACTGACCCCACAGCCTGCGCCGAACTTCCATGAGGAGAAGCACAGAAATACCCAGCGATCAGGAATTCCCTTGCCTGGC